TTTATTTCTCCTCCCTTCAGTCTGGGCTGGCTCTGGTTCTGCCTAATTAACAGAGTGTGGCACAAGTTTTGGCTCTAAGCCTTATGAGGACAGTTTCTCCTTCCTTCCTTCCTTCCTTCCCACCTTCTTTCCTTCCCCTTCCTCTCTTCTCCCTTTCCTACCTTCTTTCCTTCCCTTCTTCTTCCCTCCCTCCCTCCCTTCCTTCCTTCCCTCCTCTCCTCCCTTCTGCTCTTCCTCTTTGTCTCCCTCCCTCCTTCCTTTCCCTTCCCTTCTGCTCTTCCTCTTTGTCTTCCTCCCTTCCTTCCTTCCCTTCTGCCCTCCCTCCCTCTCTTCCTCCCTTCCTTCCTTCCTGAACACAGCTTCTTGGAACCCAGCCACCCTGGATAAGCCCAAGCCACACTGTTGAAACCCCATGCTAAACTCCCAGATGACTGCCCACAACTATTGCCAGACACAGGTGAGAGTCATCTCTGAAGTCCTGGCCCAACTGAGTCCTCAGGTGATTGAAACCTCAGCTGACATCACATGGAACAAAAAACAGAACAAACAAACAAAACCAGCCCAGCTTGAGCCAAGTTGACTCGCAAGAAGATGGTGCCACAGGAAAATAACTGTTGTTTTAAGCCCCTGAGTTTTGGAGGTGTTTCTTAACTCAGTAAGGTATAATAACTTTTGCTTCTCACATGTCAATGCCCTGGGTAGGGTTGTGATCTGCCAGCAACACCCCAAAGAATCTGTTCCGGTAAAGTTCATAATTGAACTAATCTTTGACAAAAATAAGAGGCTTCTTCCCACACTTGCCTACCCAAACTTCCTGCTACATTTTGTTACTGGCCACTCCCTCTTTAAAAAAAAAAAATATGGTGACAGCCATGGGTGGCTCACCGTGTAATCCCAGCAGTGTAAGAGACTGAGGAAGGTAGATCTCTTGAGTTTAAGACCAGCCAGAGCAAGAGTGAGATTGCCATCTCTCTTGAAAACCTAGCCAGGCTTTGGAGCGAGCACCTGTAGTCCCAGCTAGTCGGGAGGCTGAGGCAAGAGGTTTGCTCAAGACCAAGAGCTTCAGGTTGCTGTGAGCTGTGATGCCATGACACTGTACCCAGGGTGACAGAGAGAGACTGTTTGAAAAATAATAAATAGATAAATAAAATATAGATAATATTTTCACATGGTTCTAAATCTAGAAAGTTTAAAATAGTGTTAGCTACCCGTTGCTGGCCAGTTCCACTCCCATCTGAGACTGATTCTTCATTAATAAAATGTTTATTATAATAGCTATACCTCAATTCACTGTTTTTCTTTTTCTTTTTTTGAGACAAGAGTCTCACTCTGTCACCTTGGGCAGAGTGCTATGGCATCAGAAGTCACAGCAACCTCAAACTCTTGGGCTTGAACAATCCTTTTGTTTCAGCCTTTCAAGTAGCTGGGATTGAAGGCCTATACCACCATATCTGGCTAATTTTTCTGTTTTTAGTAAAGACAGGTCCTCATTCTTGCTCAGGCTGGTCTCGAATTCCTGGGCTCAAGCGATACACCTGCCTCAGACTCCTCTCAGAGTGCTAGGATTATAAGCGTAAGCCACCATGCCCAGCCTTCACTGTTATTTTTAAATGAGATAAATAATAAATGGCCTTGTACATAATAATAAATTACAATGAATAATCAATACTATACTGTTGGCTCGGCGCCTGTGGCTCAAGTGGCTAAGGTGCCAGCCACATACACCTAAGGTGGCGGGTTTGAATGCAGCCCGGATCCGCCAAACAATGAAGGCTGCAACCAAAAAATAGCCGGGCACTGTGGCAGGTACCTGTGATCCCAGCTACTTGGGAGGCTGAGGCAGGAGACTTGCTTGAGCCCAGGAGTTGGAGGTTGCTGTGAGCTGTGATGCTACGGCACTCTACCCAGGGGGATAGCTTGAGGCTCTGTCTCAAAAAAAAAAAAATACTATACTGTTATTACTATTATCATCACCATTTTATTATGACATGGTTAGTTCTGGGTAACTATAAATTTAAATTCTAAACAAAAATATTTCTCCACCAGTGGAGAAATGTTTTATAAAATATATATACCTACATACAAACATGAATCCCCCTGTGATAAAAATAGCAAAAGTCATAAAATACGTAGATTATTTTTATTTATTCAACTATTTGTGCGTGTGTGTGTACGTCTCTGTGTGTGTAAAGGAAAGACCTTTTAGACCTTAATTTCTGGCAAAGGCTCCCTTACTTGCTGTAATTAAGACCTTTATAAAAGGTCTAAAAAGACACCAAAGTCTTATCAATGCCCTAATTATTGGGGCAAAAGAAAGAATCGAAGAACTTACACTTTTTTACTCTGCATCACCCTGGATTGTTTGAATTTTGGCCTTTCTGGACAGACAATACAAGCCGCAATGTTCCCACTAAAACCACAGAACTTGACTTATGCAAACCACAATAGCTGAACCCTTGGACTTCGATCAATTCTGTCATCATTAATCTAGTCATCTGGGGGTTTTTTGCAGAGTAGAAATGACAGCAGGCAATTTATAATCCAAACTTTAGTCATCATTTAGAATGAAAGAGATTTACTTCTCATCTCTTTAAATGGTGACTTAAGATAATGGGCTTACATTTTTTGAAAAACCATCTTATTCCTAACAATGGCAGATTAATGAAGCATTTCCTGACAAAATTAGTTCATCATATTCTGACTAGGAAACTCCTCATTTGAGAACCTTATAAACTTTTATATTCTTCAACGATGACTATACATAAAAATTATTAATAATATGCTGACCCAATAGGTTTCTAAAGGATCTCCTACGGTAATGAGAATAGTCACACACATCCAAACCTGGCACTCCCACCTGTGGATCAAAGTCCCACCCCTCTTTTCCTGCAAGCAGTGCCAGGAGACCAGGCTGGCTGGAAAATATCTCACCTGAGCATCTACCTTAACTTACTGTTAAAAACCATGAGCAGCAGGGCACCATAACAAAAAGGACACCAATTTACATGGAGTCCCCCTACTCTACTTCTAAATGACACTGGACCCTCTTAATGTCTAACTCAAGAAAAATAGCTAAATGCAGGCAATCTTTCAAAACCAATAAAAGTAGAAAAAATATAGGAAAAGAAAATTCTAGACAGACTATTCTCTATAAATGCTAAATTCTTCCCAAGAAACAAGTGAGAGATTGGTCTGACTTCAGAGTATCAACTGGTACAACAGCTGTTGTAAAATCATGAAAAACACTATCATTAACAACAACAATCGTGTATAGGGTGCTCGTATCTGCCAAGATCTATGCTGTTCCTTTATAGATGCGACCGCATTTGCTCCTCAGACCACCACTTACCCCATTTTGCAGATGAAGACTTTTGCCTTAAGCCCCAGCTCTTAACCGTGAAACCATGACACATGTCACCATTTCACCGCTGAATATGGCTGACGAGAGAGAATTTTTAAATATTTGTAAGAATACAATAATAATGTCCTAAGGGATTGTTTTTTTTTTTTTTATTTTGTTACTATTTGCTAAGAAATAAATCTATAAATCTATCTTTACCCCTAAGGAAATATGTATAGCTTTAAATTAAGCCATCTCATTTCTTATAAGATTAGAACTGGTACTAAAACAACTTAGTCTTAATTGCACAAGACTTCAATGATTTATTTTCTTTTCCTCATGTTTATCCATCTAAAAGCATATTTTAAATTAAGGAAACTGGATGTTTACAAGGTATACAGGTATCTAAAGTTAATTTACAGAAATAGTTTTAAATGCCTTTTCAAAAACAAAGCAGATCGTAACACCATAAGCATTAGGAATTTTTCAGAGCCCCAAATGCTTCAAAACTATAAACACATGACTTGTAAAATAACCAATATCTTCCCAAAATAAAGGCGTTTAAAAGCCTTTTTATTAGCTACGCTCACATTTGCTTCCTATCAGTAATTTCTTATTATTGTTATAGTAATATTTTACTATTTACTACAGACAGTATCAACTCTATTTCAAAAAAACTATTTTTAAATTCTGAACTTTACAACATTTCAATTCTATAAAAAGGTGAACACATTTTAATGCTATAAATCTGGTGTCTACCTCGAATGTGTCAAATATGTTGATTTGGGGATTGAAGCCAAAAAGTAACGTCAGATTTTGGAGCAAATGCTTATGAATACAAGTTAAAAGTGGTAGCTTTTAAAAATATATCATGAATTTTTGATGCTCAAAAATCTACATTCTCAGAGCTAAAAACTGTTTAAAAATCATTATTTTCTTCTTGAGTACACTTAATGTAAATTATTCTTCCCATTTCCTCGGTTATTAAGATTAGTTTCTGTGATGGGGATTTAATAAAGTTCAATGAAAGTTTAACTCAATAAAACCAGCTTCTGAACACATTAATTTTGTCACAAACCTATTTTAGTCAACTTGTGATTAAATTAAAAATCATTCAGGCAAATTATAATTATTTTCTGGCAAGCATATTTTCCCAAAACAGAAGCGTATACATCTCTCACCACCTTGAATATATTATTCTCAGAGATGGGTTGTGTATGCACTTGGGCATGTGAGAATGTGTATACATGTTTAGTGGGGCTTATTTGCAAAAATACACACACACACACACACACACACACAACACTAGAAGATCCATTTAATTAACAATCTCACCACACTAGAATCTTTTAACATATTTTCTAACTCTAATGTAATGATGCCCATTATAACATTTCAATAAATTCAATACAGTAAAAAAAACTGACTGGATTTTTACTATTGCTCTCTCTTTTAGAATTTGTACAACACAAGTGGTCAGATAAATTATATGGCTCTGAATTAATAACTGCTTGAAAAAGCATGCACAAAATATTTGACTTCTTCACACTCTGTAAATATCAAGTTTATCCTTTTTATAAACTTAAAACTATGGTGTTTGTTTTGATAAGTAACAAAATAGCAGGAATGATTATAAGACTGCTGGTTTTCTTTTCCAGTTCTAATGAGTATGTTGAATATGTTTTTTTTTTCATGAACATCTTGGTTTATTTCAACAGCAAACTTAAGCAAGAATACTACAATAATTATATCAGGAATAGATAATTTCCTACACTGTTAAATATATAAAAGTTCCTTTGTACTTTCTTCGACATTGATCAGCAAGCAGATTCAGTCCATATTTGCTTTGATCTATTTACTGAGTTAACCTGGGCTGCTTCTTCAGAGACTCTGGCATCTCAGTGCAGGAGGGCAAGGAAGCCTGAAGTGGACCTTCACAGAGCCACAGGAACCACCGTAGTGTAGTCAGAGAGCCACAGAAACCACCATAGTGCAGCCAGAGTCACAGATGAATCACCACAGAGCAATAGGAGAGCCACAGGAACCACTGTAGTGCAGTCAGAGCCACAGATGAACCACCATAGTGCAATCAGAGAGTCACAGATGAACCATCGTAGTGCAGCCAGAGAGTTACAGATGAACCACTGTAGTGCAGTCAGAGCCACAGATGAACCACTGTAGTGCAGCCAGAGAGTCACAGATGAACCACTGTAGTGCAGCCAGAATCACAGATAACCACTGTAGTGCAGCCAGAGTCAGATGAACCATCGTAGTGCAGTCAGAGCCACAGATGAACCACTGTAGTGCAGCCAGAGAGTCACAGATGAACCACTGTAGTGCAGCCAGAGTCACAGATGAACCACTGTAGTGCAGCCAGAGAGTCACAGATGAACCACTGTAGGGCAACCAGAGAGTCACAGATGAACCACTGTAGTGCAGTCAGAGAGCCAGTCATGATGATGTGTGCAGAGTCCCTTCCATACACCTTTAAATCCAAGTCTCTGGGACACCTGAGAAGCACGGCTACCTTTCTCTTTATTCAATACAGACACCACAGAGTCAGCAGAGTGAGACACAATTGCACAAAAGACTCCAGCTATGTAAGCTTTTTCTACTAGTCTTACCACTTTCCCATAAGTTTGACATTATTTCAAAATAAAAGAGTGACAAAATTATTTTTAAGTTATAACAGGAGTGCTAAAAAAAAAAACTAAGATTCTTTTGGGTGGCACCTGTGGCTAAAAAGAGTAGGGCGCTGGCCCCCATATGCCAGAGGTGGTGGGTTCAAACCCAGCCCCAGCCAAAAACTGCAAAAAAAAAAAAAAAAAGCTAAGATGTTTAAGTTATATTTTCAAGCTCCATTCTTTTTAAGTATTTTTTAAATTTAGACTAAAAATACTAACAAATTGAAGTTTAACTTCTTTTAAATGCGTTCCTATGAGAAAGTATAAAACTGTATTGCTTTTTTTTATTCTAACAATTGTATCATCCAGATATATATGTGAAAGGAAAATACCTCTACGCTTTATTTATTTGAAATATGTTGTTTTCAATGGATTTTAATGTATTAAATGTATTTTAAATGTTGTTTTGGACACTAACTTTTCCTTCAATGATCCCTTAATGATTTATAGTGACTGCGTAAAAGTGACTTTGAGTTTGTGATAAGGTAGTTTAAAGCCAGAAGGTTATCTACTTGGTGATGCTCAGATATGCTTATGCATATGTTAGTATTCTAACAAAGAATCCATCACATCAGATCGCTGACATATTGTATTTTGCTGAACCATGGATAGCTATTTTGCAGTGCGATTTGCTAACTAATCTAATCTAGCAATTGGGCCAAAGTTACTCTGTAGGTTGGAGAGAGATAAACTAGGATGAAGATATTAATTCCCTACAACAGTACCCGGCACACAGTAGTAAACACAAGATAAATATTTGTGGGGGGAAATAGGAATGGTTTGCCGGATTCTAGACCACTTGCAACATCTCTCTAAAAACCATGAGATTGCAGCACAATACAGGCAGTCCCTGAGTTACAAACATCCAACTGGCACCTATAAACGGTGGCTATAACAGGTAATATGTGAATGCACCTGTTCCGATTAACATACAAATTCAACATAAGAACAAACCATGGAAACTATCTCCTCTGAAACCCAGGGATTGTGGTAAGAAGATGCTTAAAAATCTAAAGATGTGAAAATAGTGCTTCTGGAAATCTACAGGATTCAAGTAACAAAGGCTTCTGGTGAATATGACTTCCTTGTTTATTTCGACATGCTTTTAAAAAAGTTTTAACTATCAGTATGCGGTTGTATTAATACCAAATTAAGACCCTGAAAAACATTTTTAAACTTGCATGTTGTTTATATGGCTATAAATCTATGAAAAACAAACATAATTCAGAGGAATGTCACCAAAATACAATTAAAAGTTGCTAGCACCAAATTTCTTGATATATGTTTTTTATTACCAAAGTCTGCAGGACTAAACTCAACTTCTGTTTCGTTCAGGTTCTGATTTGTCTATTAAAGTTACGGTAACTAGGGAGAAATTAAAAAGTTGGAAACAAGTAGAGAGAAATTTACTCTCTACTCTGATTACTTTTTAGAAATCCAACTACTCTTTTACACTTTGTTTTTTATATAAATGACAGTTTAGAAATGGTTGACAGAGATACTGAAAATAAACTAAATTTAAAGTTTTTAGTTTATTAATAAAGGTCATCAGACTGGGAACAGTGGCTCACGCCTGTAATCCCAGCACTCTGGGAGGCCACGGAGGTGGATCACTTGAGCCCAGGACTTTGAGAGAGCCAGACCCCATCTCTAAAAATAGCTGGGTGTTGTGGTGGGCGCCTGTAGTCCCAGCTACTTGGGAGGCTGAGGCAAAAGGATCACTTGAGCCCAAGAGTTTGAGGTTGCTGTGAGCTGTGATGCCATGGCACGTTCCTAAGGGCAACAAAGTAAAACTGTCTCCAATAAATAAATAAACAAAAGTCACCAAATGGTTTAAAGCATTTTCATTTTTATTAAAGTTCTTATAATTATAATTCCTACTTTAAGGTAGTCCACAACTTGGGGGGAGGAGAGTATTACAAATGCTTAAAAGGAGTATCAACAAATTTTGGGAAAATGATTTAAAATACTTTTCGCTAGACAGGAATCTAATAAAATAAATATGTGAATTTCCTAGGTTATCAAAGGGGGAAAACTTGGTGAAAATTTCTTCCATATAAAAATTCAAGATGAAAACTGATCAAGAAGCATAGAAGCAGAAAGAACATCAGGATTTGGGGAACTAATAATCTAACCCGTATTGCTCAGTCAAATGTCCAGCTGCAGAGGAAACATTAAAATGTAATGTAATGAAAGAAATAGCACCTTTCGAAAACCAAGTTACTTAAAAGAAAAGTTGGCCAAAATATTCTGAACTATAGATCTCTACATGAAGAAAGTCGTAAAGAAAATGGTTAACACAAAATCGCAATTCTGCCAAGTGTGATGTTACATATTGATAGTAAATGGAAACAATACAGAACATTTAAAGCCAAAATGACACCCAGATATCTTCAGGAGGCAAAAGTTCCTTTTTGTTTAAAGTTATTAACATTCTTTCTAATATATAATATAATAATAATCAGTATACTTTAATACCAGAGGGAAATTTTTTAAAGGATCTGTTTAAAAATCAAAGCAGTATTAAAGTATCTTTTTTAGTATCTTTTTGTTAAACATGAGAACAGGAACTTTATTATGAAATTTTTTGCTATCCAATGGAATTCAGAATAAAATCAACGTTTTTAGACTATACCCCAAAACTCTGTTACGTAAGTGCCACGAAGAGATTATTGTACCATGATTTTTACAAGAGACAGAACTTCTGTATGTGACCACCCAAGAGACTATATAAAAAACTGGTCGATACACGGAGGTGGTCAACATAAGGAACTAGGCCTACTGCACTGATACATACACGTGGTGAATGTCCAGTTTATGATAATTATGCCAACTTAAGGAAGTGTCAGAGTAGGTAGGTGGTAAACTGTGGAGATTCTACTGTAATTCCATGGTATAGAGAAGCCTTTGTCAACCAGAAATCTGAGCATTATATTGTGATCAGATGTCTTTTTTTTTTTAACCAGTGGAGCAACATGTATATTTAGGCTTTTCCTAACCCCTTAAAATCCTTACAGTTGAAAAGGTTATCTTTTAGTGGCTACTTGAAATAAAAATAAATTTTCTTAGTGGTATAAGTAATTTCAGTGGCCTAGAATATTTTCCAGTTGTGACATATACTTGAACATTTTTTGTGCTTTTGCTTTATCTATATCAAAAGTCTTACCAAATTATGTCTGTGCTTCCAAAAATTGTTCTTAATCATAAATGCTGCCTCATAACCTGAAAAAACAGATTGTTCAAAAAATACCAACACATTATTAGCAAGTTATTATAATTTTGCATTTAGTTTCATTTATAAATATCATGTAAATACCATGGGTATCAGGTATCATAACGTTAAATCATTAAACCAAATTGCAAATATTGATTTAAAAAGCCACGTATTTAGTAAAACCAACAAAAGGGGCTTTTTTCTTCAGGTAATATGCCCAATTATTTTTTTAATAATCAACACCTACCCAGAAACTGATATTCCCATAAATCTTGTCAAAGAAAAAAACAGAATCTGCCACAATATGAAGAGAAACACTTGCACATAACCCAGGTCTCAGTTATAGTTTAAGAAACTGTACAATCCATGACACATTTCGTGAAGTTGTTTATTCTTGTTGTTAAAACTTGGAGTCAAGTAATCTTGGTTATTCTGGAGAAAGCACCTTGTTTGCAGGGATCCTGTTTAATCATCCTTTTCTACAATCACCTCTCCATGAAGCACCTTTCTTCTTTGACGTAACATATGAAAATAGAGTTGTGGAAACACTTAATTGAAAAAGAAGAAAACAAAGGAAGATAAGCTATTGCTTTCCAATTATTTATACTTGTAACTTGTTTAGCATGGCCAACTTTGAGAATAAGTATGTTATATACCACTGCTACCCCCTAATATTTACTGAGTTCAAGTTAAGAGTCTTAATGAGGGGGTGGTGCCTGTGGCTCAGTGGGTAGGGCGCCGGCCCCATTGATGGGAGGGTGGTGGGTTCAAACCCAGCCCCAACCAGCTAAGACAGCAATGACAACTGCAACAACAAAAAATCCAGGCATTGTGGTGGGCGCCTGTAGTCCCAGCTACTCGGGAGGCTGAGGCAAGAGAATCACTTAAGCCCGAGAGTGGGAGGTTGCTGGAGCTGTGATGTCATAGCACTCTACTGAGGGTGACAAAAGTGAGACTCTGAGGGTTTACCTAGCACACACCTACATATTTTAATGCCATAAACTGTCTGAGGTTTTGTTCTGGTTTTCATTTGTTCTTAGCCAACTCAATACCTCGATATAAGTATCTTCACAATGACATGGACGGCCATGTTTGGATTTACGGTTCTCTATCTCTGTGGAATATTGGGCCTGACACGAGATACGCTGGGCTGCCCGGCCTCCTCCTCTCCATTCTATTAACTGTACTCTGAACCACCAGGGGTCTGACACCTGTGTGTGTGTGTGGACATTCCAATGGGTACCGCTAAGGTTCATCTATAGACTTCACAAACTGCTGCCCCCTGGCTATCCTATGATCTCAGGAATGCATGTACTGGAACATGTCAGCACAGTGTTTTTTTTTTTTTATCAACATAATGTAAGTGTACCGTGGAAGTTTAACTATAGGTTCAAGTGTGCCATGAGCTCAAAAAGGCTGAAAGACTCTGCATTAACTAGACATTGGGATAAGTGAGGGGTGTGACTATACATGTGCCTCCTTAGAGCTCCTTGAACCAGCTTGGTGGCAAATAAGAATCAGCAAAATCAGGCTGATGTGGTGGAAGATGAATGGGGAGACATATCTCTGACCCTATGCCAGCTCTGATTTGGGGAAAGCTTCAAAGTTGGAGACCTCAAGGAGCCGGCCAAGTTTTATGCTCATCCCCTTCAGGTTCATAGTATGTCACTAGAGATTTCAGATGCTGCAAACTTTTCTCATTTCCTCTCTCCTCCCCCACTTCCATCAGTCAGTCACTAATTTTACTGAGGACCAACTACAACCTTGCCTTTCCCGCATCTTTCCTTAAGCGACTATCAATATTTGGCCTAAAAATATGTCTCTCTAAATATTTAAATGAAATGAGTAAAGTCTCACCAATTCATTGCAGCTATTGAAAAGAGGGTAAGAAATTAGTCAAGAGGCTAAGTTATTCAAAATATTTTAAAAAGAGTAGCTTTATTATTTTCAAGTACATAGAACAACAGAAGAAAGAATAAACAGTATTCTAAGATGATTTTTCCAAGTCTACACTTAATGAATAGATAGAAGTGATCTGATATGTTCTTAGATAAGATGTTCGTGCTGATACATAATTCTAAATGCTTGTAAATAGTGTACTGCTGCATGTTTAAAAATGATTTTTTCTAAAAAATAAAGCCTACTGAGCTTCTTTTTTAAATGATTTTGAGAAAACAATCATTTCTGTATTAACTTACCTTTTTTCTCACCGTCAGTAAAAGGCCTTTGGACTCACTCCATCTTCAATTATTGCAAATTATGAATAAATGTGGAATTGAAGTGTTAATGTAAGCAATATAAACAATAATTTCTAATTACTTCTCCTTGCTTATTAAACTAGCTTATTAAGGGATCTTTCCAAAAACTTCCATATCATATGCTAAATCCAAATACTAACCAATATGTACTTACATGGTACATAGGAGGCCATGGTTATAAGGAGAAAATAATAGTAGTCGAACGAGACGTTGTACTTGTTAGGAAGTCTGAGTGAGAACATTCCCGTCTTCCTCACGTAAGGCAAGGCAGCATATATTGTAAGAAGTTCACCAGCAACTCCAACAGGATATAAGATGATAAAAAAATTATATCTGGAGGAAAAAAAAACCTCAGAGAATTATTCTTCTAGAATTCCTAAGTCTTATGGTACAGTTCTTTTGCTAGTACTGTATTAAAACTTATTTTCTTTACATGTTTACAATGACTTCACATAAGTTCATTTCCTACTTTAATCATCTGCTAATTATTATCCTATTTTCTAATGCAGTTTCCTTTTTAAATGGCAAGATTTTCTACATAAAAAGTCAGCTTACTTTACAGTACTGAAGTATTTTTACACACAAAAAAGTATACATGCAGTTTTTAAAAGATTATTAAGATACTTCTTTGGTGCATGGTATCAAAATTGTCTGCTTTTCCTTCCTGTCATTAGTGATTTACTGATCAAAGGCTGTTCTTAAAAAAGACTGCTTATGATTCTGATTTTATATCTAAACTTTGAAATTACCGAAGTAGTTCTTTTTAAGAGGCTTTTGACTAACTCTCTGTGGTTACTAATTAAAAGTAATAATTATGGTAGAAAACTACTAACACGGCTCGGCGCC